ACTAGAAAGACACCACAGTTACCCAAGCCTCCCTAAGGTATGATTTAGGCAGAATAACACTTAAGCAGTCTTATTCCATCTTTCTCCAGCATTTTTTTTTCTCCTCTGTGCTTTCTTAAGTTTCACTTACAATAGAATTAAGTTCACATGTTCAAACCACTCACTAACACATAAAATTTGCACTTTAAAAGCATAAAAGAGAAGAAAGTCCTTGCAAGGCTACTGTCTCAAAACTAACATCCTAGTTGCAAAAAACTCAGAGTATCTTGAAAAACTCCCTAGTTCTTCAGGTATCATTGTATTCTACTATTATTGACTTAATTCACTTCATTTATAAAAGAACTACTTAAATAACATCCATAATATTATTATAAAGAAGATTTTACTCATTTATATGTTTGGTGTTTACTGGTTCAAATAGGTCAATAATATAAAACAAAGTATTTTTTACTTTTTACCCCTATTTAAAACATTTTTATATTAAAATAAGCATACACTGAAATAATTTACAGAAATAAGTAGTTTACTCACCTTGCAGTAAACTTCACTTCTCTTTTTTCTTAGCCATTACTTCCACGTACATAGTTCTTTATAGATAGCTTATTCAGCTTTTCCTCCAACATTTCCTATTACCATATATTACAAATACATTAAAAAATAAATGGAAAAAAGTTAAAAAACCTTCAAACTTACAAACTACCATATTTTTCCTACCACAACTCCTCCACCTAAGAAAACAACTATCCTTCTCGCCTGCTTTTTAACCTGTGTTCAGACCCTCCCAGTTTAATTTCATATGCTCCACACCTGTGTTCTGACCCTCCCTGTCTAATCTCACATGTTTCACACCTGTGATTCATAGATAATCTTTACTCGCCAATTTTCCAATCTCACAGCTGGGAAATTAAAGCATGGTCTTTCATTGGCAGGTTTTTCAGAGGAAACAGAATAAAACCCAGCATTCTTGGTTGGGGGGTTTTTAGGGGTTTTTTCCCAACTCTCTTTTGTTTTATTTTGTTATGTAGAGTCTGAGCTCTTGAAGGTAAAGAGAAGTTGATGTTTGCTTATGATGTTTCTGTGGGTTTTTTTTTAGGCCAGTTGATAACATTTTAGTTCAGCAAATGTTTTTTTCCTTACGAAAGTCTGTTTGGGTTGTGCTTCAAAACAGAAACATTGTAACACACAAACATTTAAAGGTTTTAGTGTTAATGGTAATAAAGCCTTGTAGGTTTTGACCTGGCTTATCTTCTGCAACAGTTGCTAGTGCAACAGAAGTAGTATATGTTGTGCTTAATTCTTAGCTATTGTCATATCAGTGTAAAGTTGATAAAACCTAAAAACATTGTTTCTATGTCTGCAGTGCGCTTTTATGTTTTTGTTCCTTAAAGTAGAAATGCTGAGTGTAGTTACAGGTTTCCATAGAAAATAACAGTATCCAAAAAGCTACTAGGGGTGTATTCCTGTAGAACAAATATGAAAACAAATGGTGGGGTAACAAGCTGTGTGGATTGAGGTCAAAACAGCTAGAGCTTTAAGGAGCTTTTGGGTTGTTTGTTTTCTTTTCAGAGATACACTTACTAACAGTGTGAGTGCTAAGGCTTGTTGAAGTGAGACTTTTCACTAATACTAAATGACTAATGGTGCTTTTATGATCAATTATTGAAACTTACTTGAAAGATAAGAGCTTCTTAAACAACATCTGGCCTGTAAGTCAATATTTGAGTCCTGCTTTAGTATAAAGCAACCTTTACACCAGTGGCTTATTGTGAAAAGAAATCTGTATGAAGGGGTTTATTTTTTTACCCTAATATACCTTGTTGCCTGTTTTCAGTTTCCCTGTTCTGGTTTGTTTGTGTGGTTTGCCTTTGTCAGAGTTTTTTGTGTGGTTTTTTTTCAGTTGCAAAGCCAAAAGCTGAATGGAACATGGTTTTGTTTATCTGGCTGTCCTGGTGGATGAACCCTGTTCTTCTACTGCCTGTATCAATAAACTGCTTAAATAACTTAAACTGTGGGAGATAAGTTTGTGTTGGGAGTCTCAGAGAACAGACTTAATAAAGAATCAACACAAACAGGTAGCTGAGTAGCAATGGTCTGCTATGTAATAACAGTTCTGGAAGCAAATACAGCTTCTGGACACACCTTGGGTGATGAAGGTGTTAGAGCTGTTGTTGCTAGGCATATGCAGCACCCTTTAGTGCTGAGGAGATGGTGTGCAGCTCTGCAGCAATGGGGGCAGCTACCTCTCAAGGAGC